TTGTTATTATTTGCCCACCTGTATGGTCTGTCAAAGACCGTAACAGAACCCACAAGCTCCATCTTGAATCAACTGACCATGCAGCCTTCCCAGAGTTGGGAAGGGAATGTAAGGGTGAATCTCACTCGCAAGATCCTGTTCTAACCATTAGACTACACTTCCATTTTGAGATGACACTGGTCAGTGACAGATCTAGACACAGTAATGGTGCTAACAGGGGACCCTGCCTGAGTGCAACCCTCCCTGGTAGCATCCAAGGTAATGACAGGTCTACTCCCCTCCCTACTTTCTGTAGAAGCACAATTTGCTGGACCTCTGGGTAGACGGGATTCAGTGTAGCAGACAGGATAAAGAGCAATGTCTCCTGCACAGCTCGGGAGATGCTCACACTTGTATAGCAGGCTAGCAGAAAGCCTGTGCTCTGTACAGAAACTCTGTTTTGAGGATTGGCAAGAATTTCTTCACTCCCATACCTCGCCACGGGGATTCTGGCATCAGTTCGTGCTGCATGTGACAGCACACTCGTCTACAGGGTCCCATCCAGGATGATGGCTAGCTATATAGTTGCTTCTGCCAGGGACCCCTTAGTTTTTGTTTTAATTTTTTTGAGGGGGCATAGACCTAAAATCTTGCACTTCTGGACCACAAAATATTATTTCCCTGTTGCAGATGCCTGTAGCTTACTGTAAATGAATGGATTTTAAACATAAAGGGCAACATTTTCCAAAGCTCCCAAGTCACTTGGGAGCCTAAACCTCATTTTTATAAGTGACTTAGGCATGAGGCCCAGATTCTTAAGGGTATGTCTACACTACCACCCTAGTTCGAACTAGGGTGGCTAATGTAGTCATTCGAAGTTGCGTCAGAGGGTGGGAATGGATGACAGGAGAGGGATCACCGGATGATTCAGTGTTCTGCTCCCTCCTTCTGGGGCATCTGGCATTGGCCACTGTCAGAAGACAGGACAGTGAGCTAGCTGGACCTTTAGTCTAACCCAGTATGTCCGTTCTTATGTTTTCTGCTGGGCTACTCCCAAGTGTAAAGTTACACATCTGTTTTGCTGTTTAAAGCTTTGTCTACACTTAAAAACTTAAAGCGCAGCCGTGGCGGTGTTTTAAACTGAAAGTGAGGCCCCGGCGCGAGCGCAGGGAGAGATAGTTCTCCCAGAGCTCTGTGTAAACACCTCCACAAGGGGAGTAGCAAACTGACCTCGCAGTGCGGCTCCCAGCACTGTAGCCTAGTTCACACTGGCTCTTTCCAGCGCTTTAACTTGCTGCGCTTAGAGGGAGGTGTTTTTTCACACCCTGGGCCAGAAAGTTACAGCGCTGTAAAGTGCCAGTGTAAACTTAGCCTGAAGAGCTGAGGTGTTAATATTTTTGACATGCTACTTTGACTTGAATCAGCATTGGAATAGCTCCTCCTCCATCTGAGTTAGGATTTAGCCCTACTTGCTCTTGCAAGTGGCACAAAAGGCCCAACCCAGAGATATTATCATGCACATAAAGTAAATAACTACAACATGTGGCACTTTTAAGCGTTTAAGTGATTTTTCATCTATCATATGCAAAGCAACAGTCTGACCTAGTAGACAGAGTATTAGACTGGTACCCAGGAGACCTGCATTCTATTCCTGTCTCTGCCAAGATGTAATTTTGGGGGAAATCATGTTGAGGCTCTGTGCCTCACTTTCTCCATCTGTAAAATGGTACTCACTGCCTTTGTAAAACCCTTTGAGATCTCTGGGTGATAAGACCCAGGAAGGAATAGTATTAAGTTTATGATGGCAGGTAAGCAGCATCAGGTTCACTTCACAGGTGGGAAAAGTGGGGGGTACTGAGAATCAAAGTAACGTTCCCAAAAATCACACCGTGGCAGAGCCAAGAATAGGACCTAGCTCTTCTGTTTTGCCTTTATCCACTGGACAAAAAAGTTAAAATCTTTAGGTGACCATGTGTATTGCAGTGTGTGGAAGAGCTTTTCCAGGAAGATCTTCAATTAAATAACACGACATCTTCTGCTGACGACTTTTCAGTATTTATAGGGATTACACTTTTTTTTTTAAAGATCATCTACATCGCCACCATCACAAACATGCCAGGAGGTTCGCAGAAGAAGAATGCTACATATAAATAGAAGGACAAGCCTACCACCAGCCTGGGTCTTTGCGATTAAGGATTACACCTCTGTAAGCAAGCACTGCGGGGGAACTCTTTAATGTCATTCAACTGTGTCCGCAGCACTGATTTGAGGCTTCTACCTTAACTATGAATTGCCTTGCTTTGTGGTTTTATTATAAGGAAAGTGTATAGCCCTAATGCTGCTCCCATGGATTGGGAGAGCACTGCATGTGTCTGGTAGTATGTTAATCTACGGTATTCCTTATATTGATATTAAATTGAAAATAGGTGCTACGTGTGTTTGTGCTAATTAGAAGGGCTTATGGGGCCTACGTTCCTTGGATAAAGGCGGATCCTGGCAATTAAGATTTATTGCCTAAATGGCAGAACCTCATTCTTGATTAATTCATTAGGGAGCCTAGCTGAGAAGATCATAGCAGATTTGTGTAACCCTGATCAGAAAGCATCACTATGGGAAATAGGTATGTGATGGAATGGGTTAATGGCACAGCCATTCATCTCTGGAGCCACAGAGTGGTGAGAACAAAAAGAAATGTGCTTTGGAGTAATGTTAAAATGGATGGTCATTTGAGAGAGTCATTGTGGGCCTGATTCTGCAAACTTCAGACAGCTCCTGGGCTGGTAAAAATTGTTATAGAACCCCCAAAGTCCTCTAAACTATTACGATTTACCCCAGCTGAGGGTCTGCTCTATAGAGTAGCTCTTAATCACAGGAGTCATTCCACTGAATGTAATAGAACGACCTGCATGAGTACCACTGCAAGTAAAGGCCACAGTCTCAAGTCATATATTTTACCTAAATGCTGCTGCAAATCCATTGTGCACAGCTCTGTGAAGCATGACTCCCTTCAGCTCGGTGATTCCCAGCCTGTATTTTTTATTAGCATCACCAATATGTTGCCCTTCTTTAGCCCCTCCCACCTGAGGTGCTCATGCTTCCCAGACCACACAACCGTGAGTGGGGAATGATCAGACTCTCCATGACAAATGGGGAAACTGAGGCACATTTGTTATTATTTGCCCACCTGTATGGTCTGTCAAAGACCGTAACAGAACCCACAAGCTCCATCTTGAATCAACTGACCATGCAGCCTTCCCAGAGTTGGGAAGGGAATGTAAGGGTGAATCTCACTCGCAAGATCCTGTTCTAACCATTAGACTACACTTCCATTTTGAGATGACACTGGTCAGTGACAGATCTAGACACAGTAATGGTGCTAACAGGGGACCCTGCCTGAGTGCAACCCTCCCTGGTAGCATCCAAGGTAATGACAGGTCTACTCCCCTCCCTACTTTCTGTAGAAGCACCATTTGCTGGACCGCTGGGTAGACGGGATCCAGTGTAGCAGACAGGATAAAGAGTAATGTCTCCTGCACAGCTCGGGAGATGCTCACACTTGTATAGCAGGCTAGCAGAAAGCCTGTGCTCTGTACAGAAACTCTGTTTTGAGGATTGGCAAGAATTTCTTCACTCCCATACCTCGCCACGGGGATTCTGGCATCAGTTCGTGCTGCATGTGACAGCACACTCGTCTACAGGGTCCCATCCAGGATGATGGCTAGCTATATAGTTGCTTCTGCCAGGGACCCCTTAGTTTTTGTTTTAATTTTTTTGAGGGGGCATAGACCTAAAATCTTGCACTTCTGGACCACAAAATATTATTTCCCTGTTGCAGATGCCTGTAGCTTACTGTAAATGAATGGATTTTAAACATAAAGGGCAACATTTTCCAAAGCTCCCAAGTCACTTGGGAGCCTAAACCTCATTTTTATAAGTGACTTAGGCATGAAGGCCCAGATTCTTAAGGGTATGTCTACACTACCACCCTAGTTCAAACTAGGGTGGCTAATGTAGTCATTCGAAGTTGCAAATGAAGCCCAGGATTTAAATATCCTGGGCTTCATTTGCATCTTGCCGGGTGCCGCCATTTTTAAATCCCCATTAGTGCAGACTCTGTGCCCGCGGCTACACGCGGCACGGAGTAGGTAGTTCGAATTAGGATTGCTAGGGCCTAGGCATGACCCCCTACACATGAGCTAAAAAGCTAAGAATGGAGAGCGGTTTCATTATTCTCTCTGTAAGTGGTCTCAGTGCCACTAGATGGGACAGAGCACCCCACCCGGAAGGTGCGTGGGTTACCTATGCACGGAGGCCTGGGCAGATGTGCACCACCAGCAGAAACAAAACACCTGGCGGTGGGCGCTCAGCCAATCAGCCAGACTGCATCTGTCGCTCTGATGGGTGGCAGCATAAGCTCTCAGGGACCACTGCTGGTTGGGCCATATTGATAACCTACTCAGTTTCCCCTTGGGTTTACATCTGTCTCTGATCAATTCCATGGCAAGCTCCCCCCACCCCAGCAGCTGCCTGCGGTGCAAACTGCAGGGGGAAACACAAGGGGAGTCGGTAGATACTGACCCAGGAGCGTCCTCTTTTTTGCAAGCTCAACTCCGGTTAACCCTATTTAAATGCCGAAACCCGACAGGACGGGGGAGGCCAGGCCATGGTCGTTCCACGCTTTCTCCCAGCGGCGGAATTTTCCGTCGCTCCCTAACGCGGCTGGCAACTAAGTAGCGGCTCCACCCCCTCGCGCTCGCCCCAAGTTGCAGAGCGACGCCCGCCCCCATAGGCCCCTGGT